CTGGGGTCCACGGAATAGCCCGTATCTAGCAGATGTTCAGTAATTGATGAACGGGGATTTCTGTTTTCTTGTTTCAACAACCAGCTGGGTAAGTGCCAATTGCCTTTGTGTTTGCCCTATGTACTTGCATCCGCAAGTGCATGTATATTCATGCACACAGTTTGAAGTGGCGTGCATCGGCAAGGCATCCTTCGCAAGAGGAATTGGTAAGAGCTTGGTTGGATTGTAAATTATATTATAATAATATTATTAATAATATTATTATAATAATATTAATTATTATATTATAATAATTATAATAAATTATTATATTATTATTATTATAATTATTATAATATGAATAATATTAAAATATTATAATAATATGTCCTTTCAATGGCATTAAGTAGCCGCCTCTTGATGGTATTGAAAATGTTATCGCCCTTAAAGGGCAAAGATATGAAAACGGGCTTTTTCAGAACTGACTGTTCCGTCGTTTTGGGCCGTAATGGTTTGTTATATTTGTCTATAAACCGTGCTGGGTATCCACGCTTCAGTAAAGTTTTATTGAAGTTAGATATTTCCGCTTCCAATATATCCATAGAACGGTTTTTTCTCGTTCTCTGGAAGAGGGTGCATACCAAGTTTCCTGTGACCTTGCTGTTTTGTATCGATTTTTCTGTATGAATTCAATTTTTTATTTTGTCTGACGTTATTCACGTTACGCAATGAGAGGAAGCAACTGATGAGCGCTCTCGAAATTAATGGATCTGATAAAATTTTTATGTTTACACAATCTTCAAAATTGCACCAGGGAAAAGAAGCTTTAAAAGTATGGTTATTTGTCCAAAATGGTCATCCGCAAAATGCTGATGTTACAGCTACGAAGCCGCCGCCGCCGCCCTGTGTTGGTAGTGTATTCCTGTCTGACGTTTCGCCCTGTTCTTCCTTTCTCAGGATGTGTGAACGTGATCTGCGCGGACAAGACGGGCACAATGACCAAGAATGAGATGACGGTCACAAGAGTTGTTACCAGCGCCCTGGAACGTGCTGACGTCACCGGAGTCGGCTACCTGCCCGTGGGACAGGTTCTACTGGAGAGCGCCGCTGTGTCGTCAGTAGTGCCAGAGGGCACTGTGCATGGACTGCGTAAGGCCCCTGCTCGACTCTTCTCCGATGCCGGTGACCATCCCAATATTCGGCGCATAGCAGAGGTGAGGACCTAAACTCCCTATCTTGTTTTCCTCTCTCTTTATTCCGCGGATTTGGTGTTGTGCTCCACATAGGTCCCACACCATGTGTGCCCGCCTTCTGTGACCCATCAGTTAACTAGGCTGTGGAGGATGTTCTCACGGCAAAAGCTTATGTTACGTCGCTAATACAAGCGAACATGCGAGTCTTAGGAAGTAATTGAAAAGTAAAAGACGACCCGATCGCTGGGACAATATGTTTATTCGCCTGACGTTTTGAAATCCGTCGCGG